TTAGGGCCAGTGTGATAACGTCCAATGTGGTATCTTCAAATCTAGAAAGAACATCTAGGGTAGCTGTGTTAGTGATACAGCAAAGTACATAGCATCCAAAATCTATGAAACAGTGTTTCCTTAATTGGCCAACCAAAATGCACAGAATACTTATACAAGCTGTTTTGTGGATTTTGGATATTCTTGTACTTTGCTATATGGCCAACATGGCTACCTCTAAATAAATTATTAATTAGTTAGGAGTTGGAAGTTGCAGGGGAGATTTCTTATCCCTTCATCAGCCAGCTGTTATGGGTTGGAAATGAGAGGAATAGCCCCTTCCAATATTGTTTTTTTATGTGTGGAAAGGCTTGAATCTTCATCAAACTGAACAGTAATCTGCTTGAATTGTAGGAAATGTGCCTTTGAAATAGGCCACTGTTTGGTACTGGCAGGAAGGTGGGGAAAAGAGAGAGAGAGAGAGAGAGAGAGAGAGTTTTAATTAACATTGAAACTGTCAAAGACTAATTGTATGTTAGCACCAAATAAACAGTCCATTGCAGTTGCTTTTTCCTTTTATTACAAGTTTTCTGTAATCTGTAATCAAATGTAGGCAGCTATCCATTGGAACAATGTATCATAATTTGTTTACATTGTTATTTCACATAATTACAAAGCAAACACAATAGAAATAGCCTGCTTCCTTCTCTTCTACCCAATGCACTGACAAATTAACACATGCACACACACGCAAACATCCCAACAATCAACAACAGCCAACATTAGCTTGCTCTTGTAAAATACATTCTCGTTTACAGTTGTTTCATATTAGCATTGCTAAGAATACTGGGGACATAAAAAGTGTCACATTGAATGTAGGCTGATGACTTCATATGATAGCAAAGCTGAGGATATGACCAGTTTGCAGTCACAGAGAAATCAGCTTTAATTAATTTGAGTGCCAGAGCTGTGTATAATTACGCAGCATGAGAGTTTGCATGCAAATAATGAAATGCTGATTGTTCAAATTTTGCGCTTACTCATTAATACACTGGGACTAAGTAGTGCTGGCATGAAGGCAGGGTATAGCATTCACACACAGCCTGTAGGCTAATTTGTATTGAACTATAGTTAGCAAACAGAAGTCAGATGCTTCTGCATTTTAATAGAATTTTTACAAAACATACAGTGCATCATTTTCTTTGATGGCAGGTTATGTTCACTTCACTACCTGCTTGTCTCCTAACCTCCAGCTGATGCAGAATGCTAAGGATTCAAGGGGGAGCAACATGGAAAAAAGGCTGGAGAAAATGGCATTTAATGGAGAAAGAAATCCACTAGTCCCATCACTCTAGTAACCAAAGTATCAGGGGAAGCAGACTGGCGGCACGGGGCCGCCCTGGGAAGGTGCGCCG